TATATATATATATATATATATATATATATATAAAATTATTAGCTTGTATTCTGCGGATTGTAAACTAATCATAAGCTTAAATATCAAAATTAAGAAATAAAAAAAATAGAATCACAATGAATTTTGGATTCTAAAAGTTTAGTTCATATAACATAAATGCGTAGTATTCAACAACTACATTATCGGTGAATCGACTAGGCATATATTGAAGACAGATTATGTATGTACAAGCATGCAACGTATTAATAGTTATGAGTAAACGTTGAATAAATCTGGTACAAGGTTGCTAATGGCGAACTGCCAATATTATAGTTTGCCACTGTTAGCTTCGGATCAAATTACTAGCTCTTCTCGCCAAGTCAACGTGTCAGACGTATCTCTGTTGGAGATTGATCGTTGTTGAAAAAAAAAACGGCCATTCATCGTTTTTCGAGTTGTAATATGAATATTTTTTACTCCAAGATTAAAATACAAAAAGATATAGCAAGACGTTGCTTCTTTCTTTGTTTGAATATATGCTCGAGAATATACTATAACCTACTATCGGTATAGTAGTAGTCTTCTACATCGATACTTGGATAATTTAGTAGAGCTTTTGAATGGAGTGTTCATACAACTTACGGGACAGCCTTTAGAACCCGGCCCTTGCAATTAACTTTGAGGTAGACAGAGTTCTGATTTTGATAATAAATCTCGAGAGAATTGCTCATCCTTTTGTATTGTGAAAGCTACAGCTTACTCTTAATCCATATCTGGAACATCTATAGGTCCCGATACACGTGATCCTTTCAAGATATAATATTAACTTTAAAAACAGTTCTTTTCTAAAAAATATTTTCAGACTAAAGCTGTACAAATTTGTTAGACAAAGATAGAGAAAAAATTAATCTGCTGTAAAGGAAGAAAACATTAAAAAATAAAATCCTGTCACTATTGCAGATACGGTGTTTAAAACTGCCATGTTTTCAAAAAATTATTCATATCTCTAATTTAAATTACTAATAGAATGTTAGATTAACCACCAAAGGATATATTGACACTATAATAATAATTCTATATTTAAAAAATATTATATATATCTACATATGTTATCTCAAGTTCACACTTGAAAAAAATTCATCCTGAAAGGAATCGAACAGAAATTTTATCGAATGAAATCGAATAAAATTCAAAACAAACATATGCTTTGTCGAAACTTTATAAATAGATTTAGGTAATTTGATATTTTTTTGTAAATTAAATTAAGTTAAAATTAACGGCTTATAAATAAAATTAATTTAATTCAGAGAGTTAAAATGAGAGTTTTAATGAATCAAAAACTGACTCAATTAAGTTAATTAAATTTACTTAAATTAAATAAAAAATCAATTTTGAAAAATATTATTTTTGTTAAATCAGAATATATATATTTATTTTTCTTAAAATTAGATTATTTTAAATTTAAGTAATCAAATAAATTTAATATTTTATTAAAATAATGTGTGTGAAACACTAAATATAACCTACGTTTCAGATTCCACTTTCCTAAATGCAACCTACATTCATCTATAGGAATTACGAGCGTCGCGCCTGTCATAATCATTGGAGCTTTTTCTATAAATTTTTCTATTGTAACATTTAAGATTTTTAGATTTTACAAAAAATAATATTGACTTTTTTAGATAGATATAAAAAACTTTTAGATTAAAAAGAAATAAGTTAATAAATTAAAGTTTCAAAGTAATTAAATTAAAGAAATTAAAAATTAATTTATTTAAAATTAAATTAAGTTAAGAGTTATTAATTTTTTAAATTTATTAATTAATTACCACCCAACCCTGTTTAAACAAACACGTGACTGACTTGACGTACGGACTTTTGTTCTGATCTGACCAGGATAATTTAGTCAATTTTTGACTTAGTACACCATATCGCGTCTATATAGAGTTTGGCAGGGCGCCGGCGCCGCTTTCTATAAATAGCAGGTGCAACGCTGACCGCCGCTCGGGACGGTTAAAGTAGCGACAGAGACGAGGCGAGAGCATTGGGAATCGCGCGGGGGACGAGGCAGTGGTTACGAACAGCAAGCGGTGCGACGGTAGTAGTAACGGGTAGTAGTCCAGACCGCAGTAGTAACGGTTCGCTACTCGCGCGACGCCTTTCAGCTCGGCTCCGTTCGACTCCGCTGCGGCCGCGACGACGATCAATCGAGCCGGCGCGGCGGGAGGGTGCGATACGCTCGTATACTCCGGATTTCCTCCTCTAAGAAAAACACCCTCGTCTCTGGAGTCCAGACTGTTCAGAGGTGCCTCGGTCGGTTCTGATTCGAGGAGCGAATACTTCGCGAATAGGACCGTGAATACTTCGGCCTACAAGAGTTTGACTCCGTAAAGAAAATCTTACTCCGCGTAAATCGCGTGAGGAAGACTTGGGACGACGAGAGACGAGAATACTCCGTTGCCAGGGTTGCTCCTGGCCGCGGCTGATGGGGTAGCAAAACGCGAGAGTGTCGTCGTGCGCCACTCTCTCCCGCTCGACTATGTGTCGGCGTTTCGCGATCAGGACGCCCGGATCATCGCCGTTGGTGATCGTCGCGACGACGGAGCGCAAGACGTGAGACCCATCGTTTATACGCGTCAGCTGATCCGCCGTAAGCCGCGAGAGACAAAGGAGGTGATTATGTAAACGGAGCTCAGCGCTGGAGGTCTTGCGGTGGCGGCCGGTCGTACGCTTTTCGTCGCCGTCCCCGTCGACGACCGGTGAATTCCCTCCCCGGTGAAAGACAGACTAATTATATTCGCCTCGTGGGACGAGGTTACTAACCAGCCAACCCTCCGGCCTGCGCCTGCGTGCGTGACCAGGCGTTTTCTTCTCGAGAGGGAATACGAATGATGACGCTTTAGACGCGTGGGATAAGATCGCGAAATAATCGACGTAATGAGAAAATCCGGATTCTTTTGCATTCAATCTACTAGATGTTTAAAACATTGTGGAATCAATAGTTTAAAAAAATATAGACGTGTTCAAAATTTTTAAGACTTCAGCATCTGTGATCTAGCTGTACAATTTAAAATTTGGAAGAGTACTTAGAAATTCTAGAATTAAAAAAATCCAAATCCTTAAGAGCTATTTATATATCGAGTTATCAGTATAATTACTATTTAAACATCGAGAGTTTGCGCGAAATTAAAAATCGGAATTTAATATCTTAAACGTACTTAAAACTTTAAGGCTATAGCATCTGGGATCTGATTGTGCGATCAAGACACGAAAGGCCAATTACAATCGAGACTAAATGTTTAATCATTATTAATCCTTAATACACGATTGGATTATTCATGTCCTGTGCATTTTTTAAATCTAGGAGTGTTTGGCTAAATAATGATCTGTATCTTTTTTTTTTTTAAATACACAAATTTATAAATTCTCTTTAAAGATGTTAAAATATATACATATAAGAATTATTTTTTATAATTTTTGTATATATTTGTAAGAGATGATAAAAATTAATCCAGGATACGAACCATCCATCGTATGCAATAAAAGACCGAAATATTAATAATATTATCATACACACACATTACAATATATTAAAATGATGATTAATTTAATTTGTGATATTATTTTAGTTTCAGTTTATATTTGCGTTTCAAGTCTATAATTGAAAAATATCTCAATAAACGCAAAAAAAACAGTAACATTACATTAATGTTATAATTGTACTTTTATCGACATAACTGTTATATACAATGTGTTATATTTACGTTAAATGTGAAATTGTAACATTGATGTTATATTACTGTTAATTAGTATTCACATCGAAGTATTTAAAATTTACATATAAACATTATTAGGCACTAAAATCTGATCTCGATCATATATTGCCTTTCTTTATTTAAATAATTTAGTCATTTTGCAGTCTTGTTTGACTTATTATATATATATATTAAAATCAGGAATTTTAAAAGTATAATAAGGATTTAAGAATAACATAGTTATTAACATGAGAATACTCATTAAGCTACGATTGGTTTCGATTTGAATCATATAGTCAAAAAGAAATTTTGTCAATTGATTATTAAATAAATCTATGAGTCGTGTACTATAAACGCATCAGATGATTAGGAACGGGAGATTTATGAGTAGGGAGGGGACCGATTATGACTTTCCCTCGACTAGTTTTATTTCACGATCGCGCTACTTTGGCGCGTCCATTTCGCGTAACTTTGACATATCACGCCACGACAGTAAATTCAAATCGATCAGCGTATTTCCAAAGTATACCCGTCTAGCTGGATGCATGAAAAATTGCACATTGTACTAACTTCCGAAAGATCCATTCGACGCGTCTTTCTAACGAGGACTGTAACCCCATCTAAGTAAGGCGGTGGTCACACCGCTTAAATTATACATTCCGATTATTTTTCTGTACCTCACAGATCCACAATGGCTCTAGTAATGTTACCGTGTGATCTGCCTTGGTGGCCAGCTATTGTAAAGCAATTGGACAAGGCCGCCTCGGCTAAAAACTCCGAGGACCTAGTAGACGTCATGCAACGATTGCATGACATGTGCAAGTACGACTCGCATAATTACTTATCTTTTCATTCTCATCGCCTCTTAACGCATATCATGTTTTTATATTTAATATTATATATATTTAAAATACTTGCTTTTCTTAATTAAATTCTGTTCTAGAGTAATGCTAGGTAATTATCTAGAATAACGAACCATCCTCCGATGACCTTGACATACGTTGTCGTGACCCTGAGTAACCTTCCGCAGGTTTTACTTGGCGGTCAACTCTCGTTAAAAAGTTATTAGCAAAAAAAGTTTCAAAAAGAACGTACTATTCCTACTATATATATATATATATAGGATATGAAGTACCATTCTACACCTCTTCTTGCTTACAAACGTTTAATTTTCCACGCGATAAACAAGAGCTATTTCACACCAAAAAATAGGTAGATTTCGCCCCCTCCGTAAGAGAGGGTGACGAAATCTACCGCATTCACGCATACACTTTACAACATAAAGCGACATGGAAGTTGCGAGCTCCAGAGGAAGAGATTGGGTGAGAGTCGCTTCGCGTGAAAGCAATAGTTCCGTCCCCTCTGTGGGGGGGGCTCCACTACTATAAAAAATAACTTAACCCAACCTATTTGTTGATGTGAGGTAGCTCTCACTTCACGTAAAAAGTCACAACCCATGTGTAACAGTACAATCATGAAAGTGCGTTCGCATGGAAAGTCACATGCCTGTACTGTTGCACGTGGGTTTCGACTTCCCACGCGAAACGAGAACTACCTCATACCAAAAGATGGATTGGGTTAGGTTATTTTTTACAATAGTGAAGCTCCCCCGTAGGGGGAGGGAAGCGGACCCTATTGCCTCTATACATTTTTCATTTTATTTAAGTGAATATTAAAGCAGGACATTTTTTTTTATTTAAGCAAAACTTTTTTTGTTAATAACTTTTTAACGAAGGACAGCTGCCGGCTAAAACCTTCTGAAGATCACTCGGGATCGTGACTTTGACCACATATGTCAATATATCATCGGAAGGTGGTCCGTTATTCTAATTACCTAATGTTACACGGAAAAAAACGGCTAAAATATCTAAAAATTTAACTATAATAGATACAGATCGGAAAATAATTTTATTAGACTGTCAAAATAATTACATGAGAATCTCAAATATGATGAACGATGCTGCAAAAATTTTTAACATTTTAGCAACAAATTTATCTTATATAATTATTTTTAAAGTTCAATAAAATTATTTTCAGATGTGTATCAAACTAAATTTTTAGATATTTTAATAAAACCATTTTAATATATCGCTTCTTTACTTTAAAAGTGACATAACTAAAAAAACTTTTAAATTATTACCACGAATGAGTTAAGTAAACATTATCCTACAAAATCAAACATCAAAAGTGAACTAATTTAATTAAAAAAAAAAAATTGTCATAACACAGAAAAGTTGATTTAAAATAATCTGTAAAATCGTCGCAATTAAAAAATAATCGGTTTTTTTTTAACAGTTGTGAAACCAAAATGACAAAAATAATATCTTATTAAAAATATCTTCTTTTTGCTGATATTATTTTGATTAATCAATAATCTTCCGATAGATTGAAAAGCAATTTTTTCTAGAAAACTTATAATTTTGTAAATCACTTTTGAAGTAAAAGAGCGAATGTAAGACGGAAAAATGGATTTGATAAGCAATTAATTATATAGTATATACGATAAATAATAATTACTTTTACGGCACATTGAAACATGCAATACATTTGTTTCAGTATAAGCCTCGATCCCGAGGAAGATGTGCAAGACGCCGACCTATTCTCCATGTTGGGAACCTTCCTAGATAATGATCTCGATCTTGCGGAACGGGAGCAAGTGTTCACGAAGACAATACCGCGAATAGTGGAACAGGCAAAGGCCTTAAAATCTACAAAACCCCCCCAAGGCTTACATTTTAGTCTCCAACAGCAAGGTATCGCAAGATTCGGCATTCTTCAAAATATTTTAATCATATTAAACAGTACCTTATTATTAAACTATTTTTAACAATCTCGAAAATCGGTATTTCTAAAATATTTATTTATTTATTCTGTGTGGTGAAAATTTTTCTTAGAATTCTTCACATAATTTTTTTCATAACTTTTATACATAAAAATATAAAAAATTTTCACAATTTCTGTACAATTTCACAACATTTAAGAAAATTCTCAAATTTTTTAATACAAATTTTTATACGATTGGAACACTTCAGAAATAATGAGAAAGTTCGCAGTTTTTTTTAGAATTCTTTATGTAAACATACATAAATACGTGAATTCTGAGATATATATTTTATGATTTTTCAGTCTGTAATTTCCAAAGAATACTCAAAATCTGTATAGAAAATTAAAATATTTTTCAGAAATATTTATAAATGTCAAATATAAAAATCTTTTAAAAGTATTATGAGAAATTATGAATGTTTTTTTTCATAATTGTAAGATATACAAGTAGATTTCGATGATACAAAAATTAATTCACTTTACGTAGGCGACAGCGTCGAGTACAGTTACGCCTTCGTCTCCTCCTTAATCGCGAACGCGTTCTTTTCAACGTATCCGAAGAGAACAGCGAAGACTCATCCCACATTGCGCGATTTCAACTTTACAAACTTTTTCAGACACCTCCACAAGTGAGTGACTCCCGCAAGCACATCATCAATTCGTTAAAGAAATAATCTACTACTTTGAGTTTAATGGAAAAAGTGAGATGAGTTTTTAAATATTTTATCGTTTTTCAGAAACGCACAGAAAGCCAAACTCAAAAGTATTTTTCATTATTATAATTATCTCGAGACGGAGCATGCACTCGATGGTCGTCTAATCATCTCTAGACAGGTATACAATGCACACGATTAAATTGATATTTAAAAAAATTCTTATTTCAAATTTTGAAATCGTTTCCCTCTCATTTTTTTTATAAAGTGAAAATAAAATTTATTAATTTCGCGCAGGTAATGACGGCTAAGCAATGGCTGACCATTGAAGATTGGTTGGAAAGTAACGTACCTCTATGTCCACTTACGATACGTCACGAGGGACGGTTGGAACGAGTTGAGGCGGAATCAAAAGTACTGCAAGTTTGTTTCGCGAATGCTAAAATTGGCGGCGGCGTGCTGGATGGCGACGTCACGCAGGAGACTGTACATGTAACTAATTAGAAAAAATTATAATCATAATTATAATTCTTACACATCGAGAATCTTCTTAATTATATGTCAATATTTTTTGGTGAACTTAGAACTTAAAAAAAGATGAATACGCAAGTTGTTTAGGCTTTATTTTACGATTTTTAATAAATTAGAAAAAAATTTGCTAAGTATTCTCTTTCAATCAATTTTTAAAGAAAAACTTAAAACTATCTATATGATATAAAGATCATAGAAGCAAAAAAATTGATTTAAATAAATTCGTCTTCACCTGTCTTGGAATTATTTTTTTTGTTTAAACTCCAGATTCACTCTTCAATATATTAATATATATATATAATTAGAATTAATGTGTATATCAAATCGAGATTACAAATCTGATTTTTTAATAGGTAGCGACACATCCGGAGATGCTCGCTGCGATAATATCCGTCGAGGCCTTAGAAGACAACGAAGTACTAATAATCGAGGGTGTCAGGCATATGTCGAGGATAAATGATCCGCGGCATAAGGCGATATTCGAGGGTATCTCGAAGCCGAACGTGGTGAGTGAAGTGCGGGATCTCGGATTCGCGCGGATTTTCACGCTATCTGCGATGGGAAGGCAAACAATCGTACAGTTTTCCGAGCGCAGGTAACGGTCTGCTGCATAGATCCCGAGGACTACTCGCGATTGCCGTTGACGCAGTTCGAGGAGGACAATATCTTGAGGGAGATGAACAAGTCTCTGCTGGGATTTCGTCAGAGATATATGCCCAGTAGCCCCACGGATCCGATCAAGAATGAACCGGAAGCGGAAATCGGCCTGGGCTCCCGCAGATTATCGCCGATCGGTGAGAGCTTTAGCAGCACCCCGCCGGAAATGGAAGGCGAGGATAAAGTTTTCGCAACGAGCAATAATTCCAAGACAGGTGGGAGATCGCGCATAATTTCCCGTCTATAATAATTCGCTAAAATCACTGTCTTTTGGCATCTACAACTTGCATTTTCTTCTATAGATATAGATAAACAGGTTCTCCACGATGAACGACACAGATTGGAGAACGTGACGGAAGTGCGTAGCAGGCCTAACGGTAAATCGATGAGACCGCCTAGTCCTCACAAAGTGTGCAAGGACGCGAGTTACACAAACCGAAAGAACAGATTCATCGTGCTTGGATCTAGCGGTGAGGTACTGCCGGTGACACGACAACTCGGCCAGATGTCGGTCTACAGTAGTTGCAACAGTCAGAGCACCGACAGTTTCCACAGCGCTAAGGAGACCATCGACGAGGAACCTGGTATGCATACGATTCTGGGATAATTTAAAGAGAAAAAAAAATGTGTTTTCTATTGACCGAACGATTTTCAGAGGAAGAGGAGCAGAAAGTGACCAAATGCTACAGCACGCAATTAGATACCCCCGAGAGGAGAGGAACCTTCGCGCAGCGATTGAAAGATGCTCTTAAGCGAGAGAGTACGGCAACGGGGGTGACTTCCTCGAACACTTCTTCCAGCGAGAGCAGTTATGCCGTTGGTATAAGCGTCAGCGGTAGCCACGTCGGCGATCAAGATATCAAGTGAGTCGACATTTATTTTTATAAAACAAACATTGGCGCAACGCTAGACTACATAACACCATTTTTTTTTTCAATACTTTTCATGTATCATTTGAATTGACTTTTACCGAACTTAACTTTGTAGGTTGAGAAGAGGAGGTTCAAGGGGTTTCGTTTTGCGGGACGAAACGGTGGACGAAGAGTTCCTGAAGGAGTCTCTGGAAGCAGAGCAAAAGTGGCTTGGCCGATTTCGGCAGAGTCAGGGACCCATGTTCCAAAGGAAAGACACGAGCGCGAGCAGCAAGTACAGCTTCAGTACCGAATACAATTCTGGCGAGTATAATTTGATAAAGATTGCTTACGCACGATATGATGTTTGTTTCCGGTGAGGATAAACCAAGTGAAAAACTGAAACTTTCATGCGCGTAGATTTCTGTTCCGAGCTAGAGGAGGTCTACGAGCAATTGTCAAAGTGGCTGGAGGATCCAATAGTGGCGGACGAGAACCGGGAATTAGATGCGAGAGATCGGGCGGTTGTACGGTTCGCTGGTTCACTTTTGAAACGTGCTTTGAGTGAATCGTTCGCCGGCGTGCCGGTCCAAGAGGGTGAACCGCAGCCGTTCATCGACGCCAACGACGTAAATCAGCAGCACAAACTGGCCTTAGCTGTGAGGAGCCTCAGCTTGGAGCTTGCTCGACAGAAAAATCGGAGACAGCAATCAGTAAGAAACAAGTTCGACTAAACACGTTACTTGCGAAAGAGATAACTGAATTAGTAGAAAGTAGAGCTCTGAATATCCAAAGCTTTAGTAGAATAGAAGCTCAAGTTTTTATTTCCTCGCGAGAAAATTCACTTTGTAGAAATAATCACGAATACGATCGTGACTTCTTTGATTCCTGGAAGGAAGCACTTAAGAGAGGATAACTTCCCAATTAATTACTAAAAGTAATATAATATCAATGTTATTAATATATCAATTGATATTATACAATATTACTTTTAGTTAGTGTTGGTTGAGTCATTGCTTCATTGCTTCAATCAAGTCAAAACTGCTTTCTTTTAGATTAGAACAAACTTGATAAGCTTTTAACAGATCCTTCATTTGTGATAAACATACAGACACACTTGTATTAGTAAAAACATACCGATATATTTTCGAAATATACCTTCGTTATGAGCAGTAAGATGGAATGAGAGACAGTCCGAATCGATTTGATCAAGCGAAGCTAATCTAACGCAAAATAATCGGTAAAAGAAAATAAGTTTCGAGTTTGGACTATAGGTAGCCGAAATGCTATACAGGTGTCCGAATTCGAAGAATACGTAGATCGCTATGAGGACGCTTCGTGCGAGTTAAGAGAAGCGAAGGACGTACAACGTAGGAAACTTTGGGCTGTTACGTTCACGTCGGAAGTGTTCCAAACGTTAGTCGATGATCATACGACCATACGCCTGTCTACATCGCCCATGTCCGAATCAGGACAGACGGCGAACGAGCGTGAAACGCGCGAAGCGAGCACGCTCGGTGTCTCGCAGGTGATTCTGATGATTTAATCGCATCACGTGCATAATCGCATGAGACAGCAACTGTGTTCTATCCGTTATTTAAAATCGCTTGGATAAAGAGCACTTTCTATGGCTTGGGACTCTTCGGCCAAGATGTAACTCGTCGGGATAAGACTGTCTGACGTGTCTTAATTTCTTCTATTTTTTAAATTCTCTTTCTGTTTCTTGACTTGATGCATGACACGCGGATTGAGATCAGCATCTTCCTCGCATTCAAAATCCTTAGAGAACTAATATACATTTATCTGTCTCTCAGTCTATCCGATTTACAGTTCTTCATGCACTCACACATTTCTCGTTCTTTTGTTCTATTTGTTATTAACCACCAGGAGCGAAAATACTGCCCGTATACATTCCTTCTCTCTATCGTTACGATAAGGCAAAATTCTCCATGTGAACTAAAACGATAATAACCGTTTAGCTTTGTATGTTACGTGTATCTCTAGAAATGTTAATAACGTTCGATAATTACGTTCCCAACGGCAAATATTTAAAAAATCTTTACTAATTATATATATTATATATCAAGAAACGTCAATTGACGTGTGTGCACGGCGACAAAATTTATAATAGATTGTCTTATTATGTGCGTAGTTGCCGCATGAAAATAGTCCCCAGGGAGGATGTTTATTGCCTGTGGCTACCGGCAACTGGGGATGCGGGACTAGACTGAAAGGCGATCCGCAACTGAAACTCGTTATTCAATGGCTCGCTTCCTCCTTGGCAGGCACACCAAGATTAATCTATTACACCTCTGGCAATCCCAGTCTATCCAAGGTGAAGGAAACGATATTATTCAATTTATTGTCTAATAGTCAGGGTGTTTACTGTGTAAAAAAATTCCGCGAACATTACTATTTTCAGGTATTTTTTCAAAATTTCAGATGAAATTAGAGATTTAAAAAATCTAACTTCGAAATAAATTAGAGCAAACAACTCAAACTATAAAAATTAGTAGAAAACAGAGATTCTACAAAATTTATAGTATATAGGAGAAGGTACTGCAATATATACATACAGCATTTTAATTAGCTACTCTATTCTGCCGAGTATTGTTTTCTACTGTTACTTATTTTCTTTCATAAACTCGCAAGATACACGAGAATGTACATGAATATATGCAGATGTGTGCCATGTTTATTGCTAACTGATTGTTAATATTTTGTACCATCTAGAAGAAATAATGAAAGAAATCAATGTTTTCGAAAACAATTTAAATTAAAAATAAAATTCCAAACATTTTTCTGAATCCCAAAAAAATTCTATAAATATTCCTGGATTGTCAAGAATAAAAAAACAATTTCTCTAAAAATTTTAAATTTTTTCAGATAGTAAACGTCTTACTAATGATTCATACTATACTTATATAAAGTTATATAAGAAAAGCTATATAAAACTATATAATAGTACATTGTGTAACGCGTGGGGGCTAGTGTTATGGCGCGAAGGGCGCGAAAGCACGAGCGTACGCGTGACAAAAAAAATTATAAAGCATCTAAATGCGATGGCACATTATAATTAATTTTGACAATGAAACAATATATTATACATAGTATTCTATTAAATAACAATATGACAATATTATTATAGACTATTTAACCGTTTAAAATATTTATATGCTTTTACATTTAACTTTGCTAATTTTATGTATAGCAGCTGTTAATGCATCAATCTAGTGTAGTGCAAATAACCGAATTCATTATATAACTATTCATCGTTCTAGCTAAAATTTCTATTTCAGTTAGACACTGTAAGCAGAGTTCTGATAGATAGACGTTGGTCAGTGGGTGATCTTGCCGCCGCGACGTTGAGGTATGCTATGCACGCGATCGAGGAACGGATGGAAGGAAAGAATAGTCTCTTCGAGGAGATCATCGGTATGGATAAATCGAGTCCTTAGCCCGATTCGATGCTGTCCGTTCTGGTGGACGTACTGGCTACCATGATCGAAGACAGCCTACTGAAAAACTAATAATGTATTACTACATACTCTTCCGAGAAAGGGACATACAAAAGGAAAAGAACTGAACGAGTACTTGACTGTAGTTGGACGCAAAATCGATAATTAACCCTAATTCGTAGTATTAGATAAAACATATTATACGAGTTTTATTTTGGCAAAAGAGAGATTAATCCGGTTTTATTTTTTTCTCTTTTGTTCAAACTACTATTCTCATCTAGCATATCAAAATGATATCAGACAAACTCGCACAATTCGTTGTACAAGGCAATATATCAAATAGGAAAAAAATAGATAGTCGCTGCGATATTTTTTAGTCTATGTATGTAGCGTATCGTGCTGTCGAATCAAGTTATATTATAGGAATCATCTGTGTCACATTTCCGCAAGGTAATGGAGAAAAAACAGCGTGATATCTCGGAAGTTCAGTTGTTATAAATGTCACGTCATCGTAAGAGTGGCAAACTCACTGCAATTAGAAATCTTATAATAAGAGTTTGGCCAAAGCGGATAAAAAATAGGGGATAGATAGCTATCTGTTTTTCTTTCCTTGTTTTTCTCACTTTCTCTCACTTTCCAAAAATGTACGAAGCTATTCGAACTATACACCAAATGGATCACAAGTGTTGATCAATCAAAAAGACTGATTCACTTTAGCCAAATTTTTATTACAGGGTCTTTATCTGCAATCATAACGGTCTAGTCATGTACGAAAGGTCAATTCTAATTTTACTTCGTACAGAATGAGTGACTGATAATGCAGTTACATGCAATAACTAATGAGGCACAATATACTAAACTATATTTTGTACAATAATATTTTTAAGTCGTTCTATGTTTTAAGTCGAAGTATATATATATATATATATATACATACATACATATATATATATATATATGCGAATAGATTTTTAGAGGGAAACTTTTAGTATTTTATAAAAAATAAAAGATTATATTATATAGACGATTTTTTTATGAAGATAAAACTTGTGTGTATACATAAGTCGCTACTATGGAATCATAAATTGGGGTATAAAGAATAGGTAATATGGCCTACAAAGGAAAAGGTATGCTTGGTAGTATGTAAATCAATTAAAATGAGGTCTTCCATTATTAAAGCAAAAACGTGTGAAAGTATCCTATGATTTGTATATGTATACTCTCGCTGTACTTCTCAGTCTAAGCAATGATAAGAGTGTTAAAAAAAAACATAGTATAAATATATAAATATATATATATATATACACATATACACACATATATACATATATTTATATATGAAGTATATATTAATAAAGAACTGTGCCTAGTTTTTCTCATGGAAATTGGGATTCGGGTGAACAGCATTGAGACATGGCTAGAATTATATGGTATCAAAACAGAATCAAAAAGTTCTATAAGCACAACCTTGTAACATAATTCCTTTAAATACTAGAACTGTCCGCAGCTATTATAAATATGTATTATACTATGTATTACTGATCTTATCAGTTTTCTCTGCGTTCAGGGTATTTCTCCGCGTACTTCTCCGCGGTAATCATGATTAGTTATACCAAGATCAGATTTGTCGTTATCAATGGCATCTTAAAATTTGCTTCGAATTAATCGATTATATATCCAATCGATTTTTCATTTAAAGACTGATTTTCAAAATACCACCGCTATTTACTACACCTGTTCTATGATCATATCAGATGCTGACGCTGAGCATTCAGAGAAGACTGCACATCTTATGTTGGATCGATTGTACAAACCAAATATGTTTCAATTAGTCCACGAATAAAATCTGAATCGCAAATTGCTATATTTATATTGTTAGATGCATATGAATTAAAAGGGTTTTTAGTATTGACAAAAAATAATTTAGCAGGTGGCTACTGTCAATATTTTACAGATAAATCATGTTTGAGATGACAAATCTTGCTAATTATGGCATTATATATAATCATAACGCTATTCTCGTCAAAGCTCGAGTACAATCCAGGTACATAAATCGTATTCGCTATCATATACCGTAGAACCTGACAATGAAGGAGCTCGAGATAGTGCAAATATTGCTCTTGCAAAAATGAATGTTGTACGGTTAGGTGTTGCGCGTATGTGATGACAGTCATGTGGTTTGTTTTCTGTTCCTGCACTAAACCATTCTCTTTCTCGCTTTCGATAAATATCAAACATATACCTATCTCATTTAAAGTTTCAAAAGTGTACACTAATTCAGCCACAGAAAACAGACTTATGATATCTGGGATATCCCTAATACTTTAACAAAGATATCCATATGCCAGCAAAAGCAATAACGATATTTTTTCTAGTTTTAGAAAGTTTCAATGAGAAAGAAGTAACTGAAGAGGGAAAAGGTGTCAACTTAAAACAAAGAATACTTAAAAACGGCGTTCAAATTGGCAATTAAAACCTTTTTTTCGTATTATGCGAGTGCCTACTATCAATTAATATGATTTATGACTGTTCACTTAGAACCTAAACTAGACATATTTCTTTGTATCACAAGATGTTCTAATTTGTAATATAAATTTTTTTCTTTTTTTTTATAATATAATTTGACTAAATATTAAATCGATGTTAACATAAAGCAAAAATCTCTTGAAACGCATCACAGTTTTTATTAATATCACACGTTATTGTTAATTGAAATGTGTTAAAACATACCATTTATACAAGACAGCATTTAATAAATATTACTTCTGAATGATATTAACGATATAATGTATATTTCGGGTGGTTCTTACTCTCTATCATTTGCTATTACATTTTATTTCAAAAAGACTGCTATGTAACTTCTTTACTTTATTTATATTCGATACAACGTACCTCTAGAAGTACTATCCCTCGATTAAGTTGGCTGTTTAAACTTTAATCCTGAGTTTGATACTTAGTTATCTAAGAAGTAAAAAAAGACATGTATAAAAACAATAGAGTCTATTTACATATCAGAAGAAGAGACTTCGTAGACGTCGTCCTACGCCTTGTCTATCGTACAGGATATTAAATTTGTTTACAAATTGATTTATATTATTACAGCCTTTAGTTATGATACCGAGATACGTCATCAAGCCAAAATCATTGCATTGCTAGAAACATAAAAGTATATTAGATTAAAACAACTAATTAACAGAACTGCATTTTTATAGCGTGTTCTTTTAAATGTATATATTAATGAATGTAAAGATATACTAACATTATAAAAGTCAGCCTTGAATTTTGGATTGTTCAGGACAGGCAATCGATGACTCAAAGAACATGCCGCCCGAAGAACCTCATGGTTTCCTTTTAATTCTCCATTTTGGACCGCTTGTACATATCTTAGAACGAGTTTCACCCTCGCGTGCAACATTTTGATGGCACTATGTTGCGCCGTTAAGTGTTCAGCCACTGAAATTAGATATTTAGATTATTTGCTGTTGATTTTAACAGTTTATCATAGTACAAAAGATATCTAAATTACATTGTTGTATTACTCACCTACTGAGCATTCACCTTGATCGTTGTTACACATCCTTTGTACATGATCGACTCCAATTCTCTCAGCTTCCTCTGTGGCTAACGTGTAAGTTAACGGAACAAATAACATGGTAGCCTCGCCGTTAACTAAGTCGATTACCGATTCATACATAGAGACAGATAAATGCTGCAACAATTAGTCTTAAATACTTTAATGTGTTTAAAAAGTAATAAAAAAAAAGAAAAAACATACTTTTTTACAGAAACATATTTCAATCAAAATAAATTTACCTCTGTGTTTTTTGGTCTTGGATCTAATTTCAGTAACACAGGACTTTCATTAATTTCGCAAAGTTGCTTGTGCACTCGAATGTCTTTCTCGGTAGGCATATCACCAGTTGTATACCACCCCAAAAAGTCCATTTCACTGAAAACTTGTTTAAACTGCTCCTCTTTTGTAGTATAATAATCCCTATCAATTATGACGTCATCGCCGATGCAATTGAACAGTAGCTCAAAGGAGTTCATAATTTCTATATTGCGACCCTTCTGCTTACCGATCAGAGCACCATACACTAAAAGTATTTTAATGTTAGAAACAATACTGATTCATAGAAAATTATTAATATTTATCAAATTTATGACTATATATGACCTCTGGAAATACTTTCACTGCATATTAACATCTTAAAATCATTTCAGATTTATATTGGTCCACACTTATGTGTCATTTTTATCAATAAATATGTTTATTTATTTCTGAGATTCTATAGTATATGTAACATAAAAACAATTTGCTAAATACAGATATATCTATAAAAGTATGAAAATAAATATATATTATCTTATATAATTAATACATAATGTCATAACTTTTAGAATATAATTAAGTCCCTATTCAGTAACTCTTAACGACAATAACAATATTATTACATTATAGTTATACAAGTTTTATTCGTGGTAAAAAAAAACTGTATAAGAACTATTGATGTATACAATTTTCTATCAAACTTATACCCATATTCATAATCAAGCCTTAAATTTAAGACTTCTTTACGTTAATCTTCAAATGCTTTACGAATTATTTTATTGTTTATTGAGCATCTAAAGATAAATTTAAGAAAGCCTTAAGTATAAGGTCTGACTGAATACGGGCCTTAATATAACTCACTAATCATTTCATCTTTGTTTAATTTTGGCATACAGCAAGAATACAAAAATTCACTGTTACACTATGTCATCTGTTTTTTGCTGGAAAGCATCTAATATAATGACATTGATATTGTCGTTAAAGAGTTACAGAATAGCAGCCTTAATTGGCAATGTACACAAATGTTTGCATCCACTATTGGATTTGTGTCGTAGGTTAATTATTGAAGGAGAAACCTTACCCAACTGATCGCTGCCTTCTTGAGCTCTGAGCCTGGTCCAATGCTCACTGACGTTCATGATCACCAGCGGATGTAAGCTGATAGATACGGAGCCGATGGTGCCCGAAGATGCCATGACTTTAACACTTCCGGACATCCTCGGTGTCCTGTCGAAGGTGTCCTCATCGATTTCCATCGCCGTTGGTTCGTTTGTATTTTCTTCAGGCACGTCGACCTCCATGGCGTTTCCCGGTCGTTTACGTCTTTGCTGACTTTGCGTAATCCGTGAAAACTAGTGCGGAGGTTCCAGACAAAACGAGAGACAGA